ACAGACTGCAGTGTGCATGCTAGTTCAGTAAAGTGCATGCACTGAGAGCCTGGTTTGCATTCAAACTCCAGTTTGGGCCAGTTTTTATAGATCTGGGTCCTATTTCTCTTTGCAGCTCCCTCTTCTGGATACTGCCGGGCAGAGGACTTTCTGGGTATGGGAACTCCCAAATTCTTCCTGGAATTTGATCAATACAGTGTCAAGGCCTAATAGTCCTCCTGGCCTTAGGGAGAGTCCAGGAAAGGGCTGGGACCCACGTAACAGGCTTCTTGGATCTGAGCAAGACTTCCGATGCGCGAGTGCAGGTCTCCTTCCAAGGCAGGATGCTCTCCCCTTATTCAACCACAAAAACGTCCACCCCCTTTTTTTCCCTACAGCCTCTCACACAGTCATACTTACCTTGTGACTTGAAAAGGATGCCAAAACTCACATGTGCAAACTTAGAAGGAAGGAAATGAGTAAGCTTGAAACTATAAAATAGAACACAGACACGAAGGATCTAAATATCACGGTTACTACTGGTGGCACTTGTGAAGACAGGAAAAAGCAGTGTGAAGTGCCATGGAGGAAGTGTGGCCTGGGGAAGCTGTTCCAGGTCCTGCGGTCCTCAGATGGTCTCTCCTGTGGCACGTGTTGACTTCATTCCTTTTCTGCATGAAGTGCTTCCCGCGGCCTTCCTGTCCCTGTGTCACCACTATAACCTGGCAGTGGAGAGAACACATCATCGCAGGAGCTAATATGTGACCAGCTGGGACTTGGGGGTTTTCTCCCACTATATTTTCTTCAGGGAAAAAAGTAAAATAACACATGAGTAATTCAAACAGTGGCCTGTGGCAATCATTAGAGCTATTACGATGAGTCTCTCTCCTGGGAAAAAAGTAGGACTGCAATTTTTCTTAGCCTAGCCCAGCCGAAGTCAGCTGTGGCTATGACTTGCTTGTTCCACTGAAAACGTAAGTCCTGTACATCAATTTCAGGTGACAGTTTCCAAAGCTAGTGCTGCTTTCATGAACTACCTCTTCACAATGGCAGGTAACTTTCTGGTTCTATTCTGCCAGCCTAGATCAAAATCACTGGTGGGTGTTTAACATGAGAGACAAACCAATCTTTTTAAGTTTTGGAACTGATGCTGTGCCATAGTAGATTAAGCCTACACTAGTGGAGCGAGCATCCCTTACGAGTGTTGGGTCAAATCCTGGTTGCTCCACTTCTCATCCAGCTCCTTGTGAATGTGCCTGGGAAAGTAGCAAAGGATGGCCCAGATATGTGGGCCCCTGCACTTATGTGGGAGACTTAGATGCCCCAGACTCCTGTATTTGACCAGCTCAGCTCTGGCTACTGGGGAAATAAACAAGCAAACCAACAGATGGAAGATGCCTTCTTTTTTCTATAAATCCATCCTTTATTCACTCCCCAAGTAGCTGCAATGGCTGGAGCTGAGCCAATCCAAAGCCAGGAGCCAGGTGCTTTTTCTGGGTCTCTCACATGGGTACAGGGTCCCAAGGCTTTAGGCCATCCTCGATTGCCTTCACGAGCCACAAACAGGGAGCTGGATGGGAAGCAGGGCTGCTGGGATTAGAACCAGTGCCCATATGGGATCCCAGTGTGTTCAAGGCAAGGATTTTAGCTGCTAGGTTATCGCACCGGGCCCAAGCGCCAACACATTTTTTTTTTTTTTTGAGATTTAGTTTATTTTCATTACAAAGTCAGATATACAGAGAGGAGGAGAGACAGATAGGAGATCTTCTGTCCAATGATTCACTCCCCAGGTGAGCGCAACAGCCGGTGCTGTGCTGATCTGAAGCAACTGCTTTCCCAGGCCACAAGCAGGGAGCTGGATGGGGAGCGGAGCCACCGGGATTAGAACCGGCACCCATATGGGATCCCACTGTGTTCAAGGTGAGGACTTTAGCCGCCAGGCCACAACGCTGGGCAACCCTTTTTTTTAATTTAAATTTTTTTTGGAAAGGATATAAAGAGAGGAGATAAAGAGGAAGAGCTTCTGTCCACTGATTCACTCCCCAAGCCACTGCAATGGCTAGAGCTGCACCAATCTGAAGCCAGGAGCCTGGAGCCTCTTCTTGGTCTCCCACACAGTACAGGGTCTCAAGGCTTTGAATAGACTGAATTTTTAAAAAGATTTATTTTAAAAGCTTTGAATCAGCTCAGCTTTGGCTCTTGTGACCATTTGGGGAGTAAACCAGTGGTTGGCAGAACTCTATCTCTGCTTCATCTTTCTGTAAAAATCTTTCAAATAAAAAGGAAATAAATCTTTAAAAAGCAAAACTGGGACAGACACTGGATCTAACAGCTACGACATGGCTTGGGATGCAGGTATTCCTATTAGAATGCCCAGGTTTGACTCTTGGCTGTGCTTCTGATTCCAGCTTCCTGCTAATGTGCACGCACCCTATGAGGCAGCAGGTGATGGCTCAAGGGGTTGGCTCGCTGCCACTCATGTGAAAGTCCCCAGTCGAATTCTTGGCTCCTCACAGCCTTAGCTATTCTGGCCATTTGGGGTGAACCAGTGGATGGGAGATTTTTTTTTAAAGATTTGTTTTTATTTGAAAGGCAAAGTTACAGAGAGAGAGGAAGACGAGGAGGAGGGAAAGAAAGGAGAGGGGGGGAGACTTTTATCTACTGATTGATTCCCCCAAATAGCTGCAATGGTCAGAGCTGGACTGGTCCAAAGCCAGGAGCCTGGAGCTTTTCTTGGGTCTCTCACATGTGGCTGCAGGGGCTTAAGAATTTGGGCCATATTTTGCAGGCAAATCAGCAAAAGATGAATTGGAAGTGTAACAGTCAGGACTCAAACTGGCACTGATATGGGATGCCAGCACAGCAGGAGGAAGATTAATCTATAGCACTGGCACCATTTCAAATAAAATAATTATAAATTAATACAGCTTCAACATTTCCCATTAAAAATTTTTCATTCTATTTCCTTTACTCACAATTAAATATTGATGAGTCAACATATACAATGAAAACTTTTCTTCATATCTAATACCAATCACCCAGTAAATTACCACTTTAATTATACATATAAACAAATTAATGAGGTATCCTACATTCTTTTTAAATGTACTAGACAACTGATATCTGAATATTTTCACAATGATACTGCATCTCAAACTGGACATCAAGTTTTCAAAATCTAAAATGAAATGTCCTCCCAAAGCAAGAATTTAAGAGAAAGATAGGGACCCGTTGTGTGGTGCGGGGAAATAAGCTGTTGCTTGTGTCTGTCACTCTGTTTCAGAGTGCTGGTCTGAGTTCTGGCTGCTTTGCTTTACCTCATGCATCCGGGATGGTAACAGAAGAGAGCTCAAACAGGTGGGTCTTTGTCACACATATGGGAAACCCAGAGACTTCCTGGTCCCTCGTTTTGTCCTAGATGTTGTGAACATTTGGGGAGTGAAAATCAGAAAATATAACTCTTTCCCTCTCCTTGCTGTTCTACCCTTCAAATGGATGGATTTAAAATCACCTCAAATTTTAAATTAAAAAAAAAAAAAAAGCATAATTCCTAGGTCTCATGAGCCACATTTCCTGTGTTCAGTAGCCTTACTGCCATGCTGGACAGCATGGATGTAGGTTAACATCTCTAATCAAAGACTTCCTTCTGTCTCTTAGTAAGCTCAATAATGATCTTAACTCTAGGTTGCTTAAAATGCTGTAACCAATGACTAACAGAGTGACTTACCTGTCTTATGGCATACTATATTTAAATGGGCTAAACTGTTTATTCCAGGACTCCATTCTTCATCTGTAATTTTTTTTTTTAGTCTTGAAACACTTTTGGTATGTCATACATGTACACCAACAGTGATGCAAAAAAACGGTACGATGTTACCTAGGATGAATCATGGCTTGAAATTTGCTATAAAATACTGACATCTTAGCTTTAGAGAATGTTTCAAGGATTAGAACACCAAAAGTACAACACTGAGATAATGAACCCTCACATATTAACACACACATATTATGGATTCATCTTAAGGCATATTTTTATAGCAAGAGACTTACTTTACTAATGTAGCAAAACACCAGAACACGTTCTGTATGACTGACATACTACCAACACAATACAAATAAGGGCATATTTTCCTAGAATAGTTTGAAAGATGGTACAAATTCATGTTTCACTTGAAGAAAATTTCTCCCTCTTCCACCTCTCCTTGAAGTCATTGGGAAATCAATAGAAGCTGTGATGTCCACATTTGAAAGTGAAGGTATGGGTTGGGTCCATGGCACAGCAGTTAAAGGCATCACTTGGGATGCCTGGGTTCAAGTCCCAGCTGGATTCTGATTCCAGTTTCCTGCCAATATGTACCTCCTAGAAACAGATGATGGCTCTGGTAGTCAGGTCCCTGCCATATAAATGGACTGAGATCCTGGCTCCTGCATTTCATCTTGTGCAGTGCTGGCTACCGTAGGCACCTGAGCAGTGAGAGCAGGCAGTCGTAAGATCTGTCTCTCTGCCTTTAAAATAAGATGAAAAAAAAATTAATTTTAACATTTAAAGTAAAAGTTTTTGGAATTAAAATAAATGACCACTAGATGCCACTGTTGTCACTTTAAAAAGTTTTTACTTATTTGAGAGCCAGAGACAGAAAAAGCCAGCATTTTGATTTGCTGATTCATTCTCCAAATGCCTAGAATGGTGTTCTGGCCAGCTGGGGTCAAAGCCAGGAGCTGGGACTCAATGCAGGTCTCCCAAACCGGGTGGCAAGAGTCCAATCATTTGAGCCATCACCAGTACATCCCCAGGTCTGCAAAAGCAGGAACCTGCATACAGGAGCTCGAGCCAGGAACTGAACCCTGGCATTCAGATGAGGGATTCAAGTGGCTTACCACTAGCCCAACCTTGCTTTCTCTTTTTTTATAAAGTAAAAAGCCAAATCAGAAAACAGTTCAGAAACAACAAAATGAACTTTCATGTCCTAAGCAGTATTAAACAAAAATTGTTGGATTGTGTCAATAAAGAGACAAGATGGTTTTCACTACACAGAAGTTTATTGTGAAAGTAAACATACAAACACACAGCATGGCTAATGGTAGTAAAAACAATCTGATAGCTTAAGGCAAGTTTTAATGGAGATGAATTTAGAAAAGATGATGCAATGGTGTAATTTTGCTTAAATACAGATTAGGAAAAAAATATCAAATTGCATCAATAACTTAATAAAAGTAGTTCCAAAGCCTGCAGTACTGGAGATAAAGGGCTCATGATCTTAATGCCAGCATTAAGACAGACAGAAGCAGCGCGATATTAAATGACAGGAAAAATTCTGTATTTACAGAGGATGGCAACAGGAACACTTAATAACATTTGATCGTATTTACTGGTGGACTGAAAGTCCTCAGCTAGAAGCAAAAGAGAAAAATGTGTCATCATCATGTTCTTTAAAAAAAAAAAATTAAGTGCAGAAATCAAAAGCCAAGGAGCTCCACGATAAAGTAACCTAAAACACCACTGTAAGGATCACTTAAAAAGGCGATTCCCTCAGGGGAAGTTAGGGCACTGAGTGTGTAAACATGTGAGCTGAACAATACCAAATACCAACCAAATTCACTCACTGTACTTAGTTACAACATCAGCATCATCTTTCATGATGCATTACTGTTTATAATAATCTAAATACTCCTTACCATGCATGACTTCAAATATATAACAAATATCTTTATTTTGAGATACAGGATATCTGTTTATGAATTATAAGTCCTATATACAATGAAAGTCACACCTCCCTCAGTAATCAAGTATATATGCTTTTTCAATGCGATGAATGACCTTAATGACTTCAATTCATTCTCTGAATTCACTTTGTCAGCTTTACACTCTTAAAATAATGCCATTCTATTATGATAAAATACATTTTTGAAAAACTTCAGAAATGTAGTCACATTTAATGAATGTGACCAAGACACCTATTTGTAAGTAGGTGCCAAATGACTTAGCACTTTTTTTTCCAGTTTTGCATTAAAAAAAATTGCATTCAATTTGATAATAAGCCTATTTAAAAACATTCTTACACTAATTCATCTCCAAAGTACAGTTAATAGTCCTTTTGCAAAATACCATACATAACATGAATGCTTTTTCCAGAATAATTAATGGAAGAAAATGTATCTTCTACACAGATGAACATTTTCCCTCTAAGACTAATATTTTATCATCTGGCATTGTTTTTACAAAAGCATGCAATATAAAATACACAAAAAAGCAGCTATCTTAAACATGATTTTAATACAATATTACCTCTGTAGCTGACTCATCACTGTCTCCAGTTTAATATGTTGTTACATGAAGAAGTTGCAGTATCCCTTTTTTTGACTGACTTTAAAGAAAATCCCTGAATAAAACAGAAGCCAACTTGTGACTTCTTTAGGCATCTCAGTAGGAAATTAGTATTGAGAGTGGATATCTCCATTTAAACTCACGAATGCAGAATAGAATCTAAAATGGACTGGGGGCAGATGAGAGTTAAAACCAATTACAAAATTTCTATGTTTAAACAGGAGAGAAAAGAGTGCTAATCATTATCACTTAAAAGGATACTGCAACTTTAACAACTGTAAACTTCTTGTTGGAAGGCTGTGGCAGACAGCGCTAAGCTACTAGGTTTTTAGCTTGTAAATAATGCAAATTCGTCAGCAGTTTTAAAATGCTACAGACTATGAAAACAAAAAAGGAAATGTGGAAAACAAAATCCTCAACAATGCCTATCTAAAATAAAGCTGTATAACAATCACATCTAAAAGTAAAAAAAAAAAAAAAATTGAGCAATTGATTAGGGAAGAAATCCCTCTGAAATAAATTTTATTTTCTTGACTTGTTCTTAAATGACACAAATTTTTAAATTAAAATGGAGGAAAACAGCTTCACAAGTGGATAGTTTCAATTCACTAAAGTAATGCCAACAAGATAAGCTTGCATAGAAAAAAAATATCAAATCATTACTGGCTACATGCTTAAAAAACTAGAAATGCAGTTTTAATCATAGTGCAAAACCATGGCAGTCTGTGATGTCTGTTACTGCCTAAGGTTGAGAAAGAGATCGTAGTACCTCCAGTTATCACAGTTTCTGGTCTTTTAATCAATTATTTCCACCAACTAGAAGCAATGTGTCTATGCAGACGGGCAGCTCATTGGCTGCGCTAGCATTAACGAAGCTTGAGGCCGTCACCACCTAAATTGGAACCAGGACTAGGGTCTTGTTGTCTTCTTGCCTGCAATGACAACATTGTAACTTGGGATTAGAAACTGTCTTGAAAATAAAAATGCTAGATATATATAAAACTCAGCATCACACAAGAAAAATTTACAACTACAAATATTTCCAACAGTATCTTCACACGTAACACATAAAAAAATTGACATACTTTCCTTGAAATTTAAGAGTAAAAATCATTTTATATTCAAAACAGCATTATCCTAAAAATGTACTATGTAAAGACAACAGTTGTATTTATAGTTTTAGAACTAGAGAAATTTAATACATCAGCCAATTACCTTAGTACCAAGTATTTCCTTTTTGTAGCAACTATATCTAAAGAACCTTTTAAAGTTTAGTTTAGGGCTTAGTGCAGTAGCCTAGCGGCTAAAGTCCTCATCTTGCACACACCGAGATCCCATATGAGTGCTGTTTCTAATCCTGGCTGCTCCACTTCCCATCCAGCTCCCTGCCTGTGGTGTGGGAATGCAGTTGAGGATGGCCCAAAGTCTTGGGATCCTGCACCCACATGGGAGACCCGGAAGAAACTCCTGGCTTTGGGTCAGCTCAGCTCTGGCCTTTGCGGCCACATGTGGAGTGAACCAGCAGATGGAAGATCTTTCTGTTTCTCTCTATCTCCTTCTCTCTGTATATTTGCCTTTCCAATAAAAATAAAGTAAATCTTAAAATTTTTTATTTTAAATGCGAAAGGGAGGGAATGAGGGGGTGAATGACTGATTTTCTGTTCACTGGGTAACTCCCAATTTTCCAATAGCCAAGACAAAGTCAGGCTGAAGTTCAGAGCTGAGAACTCAACCCAGACCTCCCATGTGCATGCCAGGGTCCCAAGCACCTGAGCCAGCTGCCTCCCAGAATCTGCATTAGCAGGAAGCAGGAGTTTAAAGTGGAGTTATGACTTAATCTAGACGCTGATTTGGGATAGGGTATCTTAGCATGTGCTGTTCTAAGCCCTTTCCAAGAATGAATGAATTTCATACCTTCCAACAACAGGTACTATTATTATCCCCATTTCGGAGATAAACAGTGAGAAGTACTTAGTCTACTAACTACATGACTGAACAAGAATGAACTCTATTGGCCACTTGAGTTTTAACTAGACGTATCTAACTCAATAAAATAAAATTTTAAAAATTACCATGGATACAGACACTATACTACAAATAAAGCAGAAATATAAAACTTACATACTTATAATTACCAGACATATCTCTAGAACAGTATCAACTTAGAGGCTTGACAATCCTAAAGAATAAACATTCTTATTCAAATTATCTATGTCTAGTTACTTATTAGAGAGCATCTACCAACTATAAGTCATGCATGAAACTTTACACAAATGTCTGTTTTTATCCAGAACATGGTTCCTCCACCAAGTTTTTCTATCCAACATAATAATAATATCCAACATAATGATGTTAGATAATGATAACTTCATTTTATCAGTTTTTAGGCAAAATCCTTTAAGTTTCCCTTTTAACATCTCTTTCACACCCAAATTTTTTTAAATTGTTATTTTTTTAAGCTTTAGATGAGTTACAGACAGAGATTTTTCTATCCACTGGTTCGTTCCCAAAATAGGTGCAATAGCTAGAACTGGGCCAGTCCAAATCTGGGAGCTAGGAGCTTCCTCCAGGGCTCAAACGTGGGTGCGGGGGCCAAAAGACCTGGGCTACCCTCTACTGCTTTCCCGGACCATTAGTAGGAAGCTGAATTGTAGTAGAGCAGCTGAGACACAAATCAGCACCTATATGGGATGCCAGCACCACAGTGAGAATCAACCTGATATGCCACTGTGCTGGTTCCCCAAAGCAAATTCTGATGGCTTCATGTTTATTAGCCTTACAATCTCTGTCTACCCCTATTATTCTCATCTAGTTCCAGCTGCCATCATGCTTAACTCTAACCTCTGCTATGATCCCATATTAATTGCAATGACTTACATAATCTGAAGCTAAATGAAACTATAGATTAACATCACAAACATACCCAAAATCTGTGTCAATTTCTAAATACAAAATTAGCCAAAAATCATATTCCAATTTTAACTTTTAAGCTCTAAAATAGGGTCAGTGTCATGGTACAGCACATTAAGCTGCCACTTGTGATCAGCATCCCCTGCATGCCAGTTTGAATACCGGTCACTCCACCTCTCATTCAGCTTCCTGCTAATGTACCTGGGAAAGGATGGGAAATGGACTGTTACAAGGTTTGGGAAATGAGCCAGCGGATGGACTGTCCCCCTCTGTCTGTCTGTCTCTCTCCCAGTCCCTCCCTCTTTGTAATTCTGGCTTCCAAATAAATTAAGTAAGATCTAAAACAATGATTACAAAAACAGCATCCTTTAACTTAAAAAAAAAAAATCCTCTAAAGTTCTGTAAAGAAAGTTTGCCCAAAAGCCCCAGCTGTGTCACCATTTCTCAGATGGGTTAGACAATGAAACAGTAGCTGGATCACTTATTTTCAAACAAAATCCAACACAATTTCATCTTTCCTATAAACTCTGACATATTTCTTTAGCCAAGTTTAAGTATTTCATTAGCAAACTACACATTAACTGTATCTTAGCACATTCCTTTCAATTCAATGGTCAGGCTAAATTTATGCCGTATGCTTTAGGCTGCAAGAGCTATGGAATGCATATATATCAGAAAAACAATTTATGTTTCACATACAATCAATGCTAAGTGCAGTATAAGAACAGATCAATTTTGTGGAATCAGAGATAGTAATATAAGCTTCTGGTTTCAGTCAATGAAGGTTATAAAGGGGCTGAGCAATGAAAAAACCCTGAGAAAAATCAATCCTAATTATCTATTTATAAATCACTACTAAAAAAATCAGTACTAACCTATCAGTAATACACTGTGAAAATATTTTAGTTTTCTTGAGATAAGAGCAATTTTAAAAATTAATGGTACAAATAGGTAGCACAGAAAGTCACCAATAGTTTTTCTAATAAAAATAAATACATCTTTACTGTATTTTTTTTAAAGATTTACTTATTTTTATTGGAAAGTCAGATATACAGAGAGCAGAGACAGGAAGATCTTTCGTCCGATGGTTCATTTCCCAATGACTGCAATGGCTGGAGCGGAGCCAATCTGAAGCCAGGAGCTCCTCCAGGTCTCCCACACGGGTGCAGGGTCCCCAGGCTTTGGGCCGTCCTTTCCCAGGCCACAAGCAGGGAGCTGGATGGAAAATAGGGCTGCTGGGACTAGAAACAGCACCCATATGGGATCCCGGTGTGTGCAAGGTGAGGACTTTAACCACTATGCTATCGTGCCGGGCCCAAAATACTATATTTTTTTGTTAAAGCATGGAGAACAAGAGTAAAGAAAAGACATTCTGCTCTCTTTCAGGCTTTTGTTTCTATGTACACTGATTGTGAAGAAAGATCTGAGAAACATGTGAGAATCAAACTACGAGGGGAAAAAGTTTGCGTGACAGCCAGAAGGGGGAAGACCAGCTTGCTGCCAAGAAAGCCACTGTACGGCCTGCCATAGGAGCGGACGACTGCAGGCATGGCCTTAGCCTCCCACCAAGGCCGTTTTCTAACGTAGCCTGAGTGTTTTGGAAAGGATTCCTCTACAGGCAATACTCTAGACTAGACAGTAGCACAGAAACCGAATTCCACCATCCTGAATACATCAAGTCTGCAATTTCTTGTTTCTTTCTCTCCAGTCAATCCCCAAGTTCCTTGATGCTAACCTTTGTCAACAGTTAATCCAGAAAAGGGTTTTAATATAAAGCAAATGTCATGAAGCCTGACTTCAGAACACAAATCTGTTTTTAATAAATCACAATTAGTCTAGGCATTCTCTTACAGACCAGTTGTTCCTGCTTTATTCCACTAGAGCATCACCTAGCACACTGGCAATTCCAGGTTCTAGGAGGCGGTCATGAGATGACTTCAAATGAAAGCAAAGAATATGCACCAACAATTGCAGTTGGCTGGGGTCTTCCAGCACAAACGAAGAACAGGGTGTCCCGAAAGAAGGAAATCTCTTGGTTGATCTCCATTCTTTTATTACCCAAATCAGCAAAAACAATTGCTGAAAATTCTTTTTGGGAAAATGTCTCAATGAATAAAAATGTCTATAACTCATGTAATGTATATAATATGTCTAGATACTAGGTACTCATTTTCTGTTTGATATGTGGCTAAAAATAAAAAGAACTACAGAATTTTTCAAAAAAGCTGCAATGGTCAGGACTGAGCCAGGCTGAAGCTAAGAAATTTGGTACTCCATCTAGATCTCCACATGAGTGGGAGAAGCCCAAGTACTTGGGCCATTTTCCTTTGCTGTTCCTGGCACATGACCAGGGAGCTGCACTGGAAGTAGAATGTGTGGGACTTGAATTAGCCCTAATACATAATGTTGGCATTGTAAGTGGTGACTTAACCCACTGTGCTACAACTGGCCCCAAATTACAGAACTTTAATATTTGCTTATTCTTATTAGAAAAGCAGTTATAGAGGAGAGACACAGAGAGAGACCTTCCATCCACTGGTACACTCTCCAAATGACCACAACAACTGCATTTGAGCCCATCATAAGCCAGGAGCTTCTCCCAGGGCTCCCATGTAGATGCCGGGGCTCAAGAATTTCAGCCACACATGCTGCCTTCCCAGGCTAGAAGCAGGGAGCTGGATCAGAGGCAGAGTAGCTGGGACTCAAACCAGTATCCATATGGGACACCAGAGTCACAGGTGGAGACAGCCTGCTATCCACTGTGCTGCCTCAAATTGCAGAATTTTATTTGATTATTTTTTAAAATTTTGCTTTATTTTTGCTATATTGTTTACACAGTGGACAAGAATGCAGCCCAGGAGGACTACTGATTAGGGTGGGAAGGGTTGAGCTATGGGGAAAGGTAGGTGGGACAAATGCTTCCAATCTTCCTCTCCTTCCCCCTTTTTTCATTTTTTGGGGAGGGGTAAGGAGGAGGGGAGGATGGCTGCTCCCTGCTAAGTTGCAGGATTTTTAAGTGGCA